GAGTCCCTGTGGGTGCTCAGAGCTGTTTGGGAGGCACTCGGGGCCCCGTGGGGGCTTGGTGGATGTCAGGTGGGGGGTTACGTGGGGCCAGGGGAGGCCCTGGGTCAGTCTGGGGGGCTCATGGATGCCCGCTGGGGCCCAGGACTCAAGGGAAGTACTGGCCCAGCAGGTCCTGGGGAGGGGGTCTGGGGGTCTCCCTGGCCCTGGGTACCAGGGGTGCTGCTTGGTGGGTGCTCGGGGCTGGACTGGGGCTCACTGGGTGCCTGGTGGGTGATCTGAGACTGGTGGGTGCCCAGTGAGGACTCAGCGGGTGCTCGGGGGCTGTCTTGTTCTCCTGAGTGTCCCGTGGGTGCCTGGGTCTCAGGGGGTGTGGGTGTACAGGGCAAGTCCCCCGGGAGCTTTAGCCCCATCCGTGCCCCCTGAGCTGCTGCGAGACGCTCCTGCGTCAGGCCCCCGTCAGGCTTTGAGCTTCTCATCCCTCGCTTCTGCTTGCGGGCTCTGCAAAATCTTCCCACGCCCAGTCTCTGCCGTGGCCCTGGCCCTTCCGCCTACGCAACATTGGGAAGCCGCCTGGCTCCCCATGCTCTGGGAAGAGTGGCTAGCCCGGGCTGAGCCTCCCGGCAGGCAGCTGGAGGCCCTTGGACCCCTCCCAGGGGTCTTGCGTTGGGCTGAGACGGGAGCTGGCGGTGGGGACGCCACGTTCCTGATGTCCGGCCGAGCCCTGAGCTCAGCTTGGACGTCTGTCCAGTGTCTGCTCTGCGTGTCCGCGCTGCCGGGAAAGGCTGAGGGCGCTTGGGGCCAGCGGCGCTGCTGGGGCTGGATGTTCCTCCCTGCCCAACTCTCCTCTTTCCTCCCCCGGGTAGACAAAGACCCTCTGGCTCACAAGAAGGTCTCCAGTTTGACCATAAACTTTGGGCCCCAGCACCCAGCTGCCCACGGGGTCCTGCGGTTGGTCATGGAGCTGAGCGGGGAGACGGTGAAGAAGTGCGACCCCCACGTTGGCCTTCTGCACCGAGGCACCGAGAAGCTCATCGAGTACAAGACGTACCTCCAGGTAAGGCGCAGCGGGCTCCCAGTGCTTCCCCATGCCGGGGGCTGGTGTCTGTCCACAGGGAAAGCCAGGGGTGTCTTTTCGGGGTGAGGGGCTGTTGGTGTCCATCTGTCTGCAGCTGTTGGATCGGATACATCAGCAGCCTTCTTGACGTGCTGGGAGGGAGTTTATTTGCTTGTCGGGTTTTGCAGCGGTGTTTGTAAACAGACCCTGCTGATTTATTGTCCCGATCGGGTTTAACCTTTCCGTCGGTGGGAGAAACGGAGCTTGAAATAGCTCAGGGCTGGGGGGGGAGCACCGCCTTGGCTGGCCGCTGCGACTCGGGGCAGCGCCGTGATGGCTGCGCTCAGCTGTGCGGTGGAGACGGTTCTCAGCTGGTGCGTGCCGAGGGCGCAGCATTGGGGCCCCCACAGTGTCTGTGAGCTGGAAAACTTTCACAGAGGGACGTTGTCCGTCTTCCTTCGTGCCTTATCCCGAGGCAGGGCCGTCTGGGCTGGAGCTTTTGGGCTGCCTTCAGGGCTGCTGCCGTGCTCGAAGCGCCCCGAGCCAGGAAGATGCTGTGCCTGGGGGCTGCGTCCCGGCGCTCCCCTGTGTCCCGGCGGTCCTTGGCTGCGGCGAAGCCTCCGAGCGCTCCTGGCAGTCCCGGGCCTTTGCTGCCCGGCTGCAGGTGCCGGCAGCTGCTGCTCAAGGCCGTTTCTTTCTGCAGGCGCTGCCCTACTTCGACCGTCTGGACTACGTCTCCATGATGTGCAACGAGCAGGCCTATTCCCTGGCCGTGGAGAAGCTGCTCAACATCCGCCCGCCCCTGAGGGCTCAGTGGATCCGAGGTGAGGGCGTCCCCGTACCGTTTCTGTGGGGGCTCCAGCTCCCGTCCCGGAGGCAGGTGCTTCTGCCTGCCGTGCTGAGGGTCGTAGCTCTTGGCCTTCTTGGGGCTCAGCCCTCCTTCCCTGTGCTCAGGGGAGTGCGGGGCCAGAGGTGCTCACCCCCCTGTGCCCCCTCTGCCCCCAGTCCTCTTCGCGGAGATAACCCGGCTGCTCAACCACATCATGGCCGTGACCACGCACGCGCTGGACATCGGGGCCATGACCCCCTTCTTCTGGATGTTTGAGGAGAGGGAGAAGGTAAAGGGCAGTGCCGCTGTACTGGGGGATCGGCAGGGGGGCGGATTTGGGGCTCAGTGCTGCGCGTGGGGCCGCGCCGTGAAGAGTGGGCTTTCCTCTGTCCCCGCAGATGTTCGAGTTCTACGAGCGGGTCTCGGGGGCGCGGATGCACGCTGCCTACATCCGCCCCGGCGGGGTGCACCAGGTAAGGGCGGCCACGCCGTACCCCAGCTCCCCACAGAGCCCCTCCGGTCTGGCGGGGATGTGCGGGGTGTCCCCGTGTCCCTGTGTGGGCGATTGCCCTTCCGATGCCTCCCTGCCCACGTCCCTGGCGCCACCGGCCATGCTGACCTCCCTCTCCTCCCACGCAGGACCTGCCCCTGGGGCTGATGGACGACATCTACGAGTTCGTGAAGAATTTCTCCATGCGGATAGACGAGGTGGAGGAGGTGAGGCGTGACGGCAGCCGGGCTGCTGCTCGAAACCTGGGAGAGAGGGACAGTCCCCATTTCCCAGCACCCTGAGGGCTGGGGTCTCGCCTTGCCTGTCCCCTGGGTACGGCCAGCGTTACGGGGTTATTCCTTCTGCAGCAGCAGTGACAAGGTGACACGGGTCAGGAAAGGGAGCGCACAGTCGGGGAGAGGCAGCCGGTGCGGGGTCGGGTGACTAACGCCCTGCTGCCCGCAGATGCTCACGAACAACCGCATCTGGAAGAACCGCACGGTCGACATCGGAGTGATAACAGCGGAGGAGGCTCTCAACTACGGCTTCAGGTGGGTCCGGTGGCTCCCAGGGACGCCTGGGGGGGGGGCTCAGCCTCCTGCCACCACCCAGCTGTGTCGTCCCCCCGAGAAGGATCGGGGTTGAGTCCAACAAAGAGCTCAGCCCGGACTGCAGGAGTCCCCAGGGCCGCTTGCAGCCATCTTGGGGACCGATGGCGCCAGTGACTGTCAGGGCAGTGCTACCCAGTGGCCGCAGCGTGGCAGGAGCTGTGACGCCGTGTCCTGCCGGGTTTTGCCTGCCTGATGTCCCTAGGCTGTCCTCCCGTGGCCGTTGCTCAGGGCCGTGGGGTGTGCGCAGGCGGGGGACGCGTGGCCGCTTTCCCCTGTGTCGGGGTCTGCTTTGGGACGTGGGGAGGGCTTGGAGCTGGCGTGGGGCTGGGCCCGCTCCCGGGTGGGCTGCTCACCCGCCTCCCTACTCCCAGCGGGGTGATGCTCCGGGGCTCGGGGATCCACTGGGATCTACGCAAGACCCAGCCCTACGACGTCTATGACCAGGTGGAGTTTGACGTCCCCATCGGCTCCCAGGGCGACTGCTATGACAGGTACATCACACCCCGGCTCTGCCGGGGGCCGTGGGGAGGCCTCGGCAGGGTCACACCTCCTCTGAGGCCGTGGCTTCCTCATGGGGTGCCCACCACACGGGGGGCAGGTCCTGAGCGGCGTGGGGGTCCCACAGGTACCTGTGCCGAGTGGAAGAGATGCGACAGTCCCTCCGTATCATCCTCCAGTGCCTCAACAAGATGCCTGAGGGGGAGATCAAAGTAGACGATGCCAAAATCTCCCCTCCGAAGCGGGCAGAGATGAAGGTAAAAGCACTTCCTTCCCCCGCCGTGCCGTGCCGCTGGCTGCGTGTCGGCACCGGCGAGCAGGAAACGCTGTTCGGCGTGTCGGATGCTTGCACTGAGGATTTTGCCGGTGTTACCTGCCGCCGTATCCGTCCCCCGGCTTGGCTGGGGACTGCCCAGCCTCCTGCGTGCCGCCCCTGCCAGGACTGGCAGCGCGTGGGCAGGGAGGACGGCTTTGTCCTGGGGGGGAGGTCTGCTGCCTGCTGAAGCCACTCCTGAGCCCTGCGGCGGTCCGGCCCTGCGCCGTGGGAGGGGATCTCCCTTCCCCAGCTCTGCCAGGCCCGGCCCAGCTTGGCCAAAAAGCCACCCTGGTGAAGGCAGGGCCTGGCAGAGCAGCGGCCGGCACAGAAGAGACCTGCAGCTGCCCTGCCTTGTGGTCCCATGCGCTCGTTAGGGCCAGTGGCTGGGTGAACGCGGCCACCACCCCGGTTCCCACGCTTTGGTCCCTGTCACCAGCGGCTGAGGCGCAGGCAGGAGATGGGCAGCATCCGGGCGGAGACGGGACGCCCGGCCGCACGCCCTCGGTGACGGTGCCCTCCTCTCTCCCCAGACATCCATGGAGTCCCTGATCCATCACTTCAAGCTCTACACGGAGGGCTACCAGGTGCCCCCCGGAGCCACCTACACGGCCATCGAGGCCCCCAAGGTGACACTTCTCACGGCGTTACGGGGACAGCGGGCTCTGGCATGGTGAAGGGTGTCCTGGCTGCCCTGTGCCACTCTTGGGGACATCGCGGTGTTCCTGTCACGGGCTGGGTGGGCTGTCCTGTCCCCAGGACTCTGCTCTTGCACCAGACTGGTGTTTGAGGGCTGGACGCTGCGGCTGGGAGACAGAGCCTCGGCCCCCTGACAGCGTCACCGCGCCACCAACCCTGTCCTTGTGTCCTTGCAGGGCGAATTCGGCGTCTACCTTGTTTCGGACGGCAGCAGCCGCCCCTACCGCTGCAAGATCAAGGCGCCTGGATTCGCTCACCTGGTAGGAGAGGCTGGGGCGGCCGGCGGCATCGCCG